AGAGGGAGAGGGAGAGGGAGAGACAGAAGGGTTGGGTTGTAGTTTGGGCCAAAGTCTGCCTGGGTTCAATCCCAGTACTCCAGGAAAAAGAAAAAGAGCCCTGCAGAGCCCTCTATTCCTAGTTATTCTGTTTTGATTGGCATTGTAATATCTTCCTATTATTTTTTCCTTTTTTAGTACTTATTTTTCGTTTTAGGTGGACACAATGTCTTTGTTTTACGTTTATGTGGTGCTGAGTTTCGAACCCAGTGCCTCATGCATGGTAGGCGAGCGCTCTACCACTGACCACAACCCAACCCTTATTTCCTATTTTTAACCTGAAGTTAGTGTACATGTTGTTGACGTTCACACCCTACTTTGTGTACAGATTAAGGTGCCCGTTGCTAGAGAAGAGGCCAACCTGGCCTCCTCCCTGCCTCCTCCCTGGCCTCTATCTACCCTGGCCTCCACCCTGCCTGCTCCCTGCCTGCTCCCTGCCTGCTCCCTGCCTGCTCCCAGGGGTGTTTTGGTGCTTTCCACCCCAACCCTCAGGACCTCAGGGCCTTCCCTTCCAGCCCTGAAGCCCTTGTTTGTTCTCGTGTCTTCATGGGACAAGAGCAGGTGGGACCTCCCGTACCTTCATGCTGTCCCCTCTCCCCCAGGTGAGGAAACGGAGGCTCTCATTGCAGCCCACCTGCTCTGGGGCCTCTCAGAGGACCCGAGGCCCTGTCCCACGGAGGCCCCGTCCCACGGAGGCCCCGGGTGTGTGCCCGCTGCGGTCTGGGCCTCGGAGGCTTCCAGTCCTGCCGTTGGGGCTGGCGGAAACCCCCACCGGGGAGTGGAAAGTCCAGAATTCTACAGGGGCCGCTTGCTGACCCCCACCAGAGGCCAGGTGGCACCTGCCCACTAAAATCGGCTCCAGGCCCGGCCCGCCGCACCTGCAGGAGGCCAGGGCTTCCCAGAGAGCCAGGCAGACTGGACCTTGCAGCAGTTTCCAGCTCTCTCGTCTGCTCCTCTGGCTGGGGCGCCCTCACCTGGGAGGGAAAGTCCACCAGGCTGAGGGGTGGCCCTGGGGGTGCTGGTGCTCGGAGGGGGCCGGATGAGCCCACCGCGTCCCGTGGTGCCTTCCTGTGTGAGGTCTGGGGCCCACGGGCCCAGGGATCCCATTAGTGAGCTTTGCTGTGGCCAGACCTGGGCCCACACTCCAGGAAGTGAGCAGGAAGTCCCAGATGGGCAGGAGTCACAGGCCACGGGGTCTGAGTGGCCTCAGCTCATGCTGGAACCCTTTAACCCAGTGCCCAGAGGGGAGGGCAGGAAAGGCCCGCAGGCAGCAGCCTCCGCCCGGCTGTGGAGGAGAACCTGGCCCTCGGAGGGGCAGCCCAGGTGGGCCATGGCCAAGCGTCCCCGGGTGTCTGCGGCAGGCACAGTGCAGGGCGTCACCCAGCTCCACACCACAACCCAGAGCACTGGCCTTGGGCTCAGAGCCCTGAGGTGGGCGGCAAAGGGCCTCTTCCCAGCCCAGACTCCGGAAGGTTCTCTGGCTCCAGCCCTCCCTCCCTCCTTCCTTCCTCCTCCTTCCTCCTTCCACCTTCTTCCTCCCTCCCTCCCTCCTTCCTCCATCCCTCC